AGTTTCCTCACAAAATATGGAAACGCCATTTGACCCAGTGATCCCACTTCTAGGAATATATCCTAAGAACCCTGAAACACCAATTAGAAAGAATATACCCACCTCTGTGTTCATAGCAGCACAATTTATAATAGCTAAGATCTGGAAACAGCCCAAGTGCCCATCAGTAGATAAAAAAGCTGTGGTACATTTACACCATGGGATACTATGTAACAGTTAAAAAGAAGGATCTCTTACAGCATGGAGGAACCTGGAGAGTATCATGCTAAGTGAAATAACTCAGTCAGAAAAAGACAAGTATCACATGATCTCACTCACATGTGGAATTTAAGTAATAAAATAATTTGATGAATGGAATGGATCCAGAAATATAGGAGCATGAAAGAGTGCAGAATCTCAGAGGGAAGGTGGGGGAGGGTCCTTGGGAGGTGATTATCCAAGGACCTTGTATGCACATATGTATGGCCCATGGACACAGACATTGGTGCAGTGAGGGCCTGGGGCGGGAGGTGGGGGCAGGGACCAGGGAGTTAAATGTGGGGGTAGGGGGAGATATATGTAATACTTTAAACATTAAGAATTATTTTTTTAAAAAGAAAATGGCTCCTGCTTAATGGAAATGTAAAATAGAATAAAAAATTAAAGGCCAGTTCACTTGTGCTGAAGATGTATTTAAAAGGTGATGAGTTGGGTTCATTACTAATTCTCTACAATGTTCTAATCCTGGGTCCTGGAGACTGCCAGGGCCTCTTCTCTGAAGTGCCGTAGCTTCCGGCCGCGGCGGGTTCACACCCGTTAGCCTCTGCTCCAGCAGTGTGTCCCAGCGCGCCTCCGCTGGTCCAGAGCGTGCTGGTTCCCTAATGAAGCCGGTGATGACAATCCTCAAAACAGCTGCCATGTGCTACGTGCTGCCAAACAAAACTTCTAGAGCATTGATGATTGGTTTCCACAAGACCACCGTGTGGCTGGTATCACCTTCATTGAACAAAAAGTGGGACGCAGCAGCCAAGTAACTTGCTCAAACCACACTCTGGACACAGGCAGAGAGAAGATCCACACTCAGAAGTCTGCCGAGTCCATGCTCACGTGAGGGCACAATGCCACACATGCAGGTGGTTTTGGTGGGGGCTGTATAAGGGGAAGCTGGCGACTAAGGCTCTTTGTAGAATGTGGGTGACAGGCACCGCAGAAGTCCCGGTGAAGGTCCTGCTGCCGCCCGGCCTTCCCAACGCCCTGCTCACCTGCTCTCAGTGCTCGGGAACTCCCCTGTGCAGTCAGAGCTTTTACTTTTACACATTTTACACAGGACACCACATCACCACATTTCTATGGGAAATATAAATAATTCAAATGACTCTGAAAAGAAAGAGCTCCATTATTGTATATTATAATTTTAAGGGGGAAAAAAAGCTGACAATCAGATCAGAAGCATTAAACCAAGTTTCTTGCTCATTTTCTCCAGAGGTTCAACCAGAACGTTTTTAAAAGGGCATAAGTTTAAGGTCTAGCTAGGGAATAAAGACATGTTCTGTCTGACACTTCCCACGTCAGACCCAGGAGTTATCAAATTATCTCTAAGTGCTGTATTTTAAAAAAAGAAGGTGGGAGCTGGCAACCTGCACCTACCAAGCTCTCACTGTTATAAATTTGTATTTTAAAACCCAGTATCTTTTTTTGTAAATATGCAAGGGACCCTTCTCTCTTGGAGAACCACCTCTCACTAACACATTTAAAATAATACCCTTATATCTATAATGAATTCTTGGCATTCAGGAATTCAAATCTCCTCAAGAGTCAGAGGGGAAAAGCTGCATAATTATAGTTCATCTGAGTGCAAGTTATAAAGTAATCAGTGTTTGAAACAAAAAAAGCAATACCTTAGAATGACATTTAAAACAAAAAAAAACGTACTTACTGGCACTTAATTTTTTTTTTTCATGCAATTTGTTATTCATTCAATTGGAAGAAAACGTGCACTACCATTTTTTGATAAGGCAAACAATATTCAAAATTGGCATTAACTAAACACAACTTGCCAGCACTGTGTGAAAAACCAAATGCTTTAATGAAGCTATGGAGAACAACAGTTCAAATATCACGGATACATTAATATTGATCCACAATATACAGTGCTGTGGACCACACAGAAAGCACTGCTGCACCCCAGCAGGAGACTACATTACAGTACCGAGTGTCCGAAAGAGACAGTCATTTGTCTTTTTTTCCCCCCAAGAAATAGGAGTTTTGTAATACACTGTTATCAACATAAATTTTTCCCCAGTGCATTTTAAAAAATATTAGTAAGTGCATTCCTTTGTGCTTTATTTTGTATCTTTTATCTTCCTATGAATTTTATTGATTCTTATTGCTTTGTATTTTTAAAAAACAACCAGAAAGAACTTTGTCATCCTAGCATGACCAAGTTGGTTGCATGTTTTTGGCAAAGTCAGGTTTGGTATTTCCATCACCGTACCCAAAGGCTAGTGGACAAGTTTGGCATTTCAGTCACCCAGATGGAGGCCCAGGCCCAGATCACAGCTCTGCACCCAGGGTCGGGGAGTGGGTGGATCATTTTCTCATCACAAGAGGCAAGCCCAGACCACCCCCTCCTGGTTTAACTAGTCTCTACAACAAACCCACACACTATTTGGCAAAAAAGAAATAAATAAAACCACTCCCGCAGCTGCAGCCTTCTGGCTCACTCGCCTGCCACTCCCAGAAACTGTCTCTTAAGAAGGTTGGGGCAGCAGGGGGCGAGCTCGGCATGCGAGACCCAGGGAAGTGGTAGGAGATGCCATGCTTTCCCTCACAGAGCTTCCTCTGCATTCGCTTAATCCTGGGCCCTGGGTTTTTAAAGAACCTTGCTCTATTTTTAAGAACCTCCAAATCAGCACAAGAAAACTAGCATCAGGCTATCACCTTCGACTTTGGCAGCCAGGCCCCCTCCCCCGTGTCAATCGGGAGAGAAACGGACGATGCTGTGACTGTGGCACAGCAGCTGCTCATGCACACCCGTGTCACTGTTCTAGGAGAAGAGCTATCTGTACAGTGAAGGAGGCTGAAAGAATGGGAACCAAGTTCCCTGCCCCTTAAGTAATGAAGCTATAAACTGACAGCATTCTCAAAGTTCCAAGGACTCCCGCTGCCCGGCGTGCCTGGGAGCCAGGCATGGGCTATTTCACGTAAGTCATCCATTCACACGTTCGACAATCACTCCTCCCTGAACCTTCTAACAGCCATCACCAATTCACATTTGACACTTAAACTCAGCCTCGTTTTTTATAAAACCCTCCTGAATGAGGTTTCCTGATGAAAGAAGTTGGCACTCTGTCACTAAAATATATTTAGTATTAAAAATATCTGGAGGAGAACTGGAAGCTCTGATACTGTCCACAGAGGCACCCTGCCACACGCCGCTCTCCACGAGACCAGCTCAGCCGGCGCCATCCCACGCGGCTCTGCTCTGTGTAAGGCACTTCATTCCGGATGGGTGTGCTTGATGCCACCGGCTGTTCAACTGTTCCTGCTGCTGAGACGTCCACTCCACAGCCTGGCTCCTGGCCCCGAGCCTGCGGGACGCCTCGCCTGACAGAGCGCAGGCAGGGCTGCTGCTTCCTGGCAGGACCGCCTGAGCCCGTGCACGGGAGCTGGCGGGACAGCAGCTGCCTGTGTGGCACTGTGCTCAGGAAGCAGAGCTACCAAGCACCAGTCATTTGCCAACACACTCTCTCTCTCCTTAGAAAAGTTCAGCAAGCTTGCTGAAATAAACTTCAATTTAAATGACCATACTGGGCATATTAACACTATGGTTACCAGTCTCCAAGAATATTGCTACTTTCATATCACTAAAAATAAATATGTGAGTTTATTCTCTCTAAAAGGCCAGTTTTACCTATTAATCTACACCTTAAATGTGTGGAAAACCAGTCCTGAGACTGTAATATACAAAATATTCGCAAAGCTCTCTTTAAACACAAGACCTTGCGTGAAAGTTTTCTTTCATGTGTGTACAAATAATGCAGAAAACCATCAGTGAGTTGTAAAAATATTGAAAACTTGCCATTTTAAGATGCATATTCTTACAAATTAATACAAACATACTGAAAAGAACGATGATAATAAAGAATCTGTACAACTCAAACGAACAGTAAAACATAATTTAAAAATAAAAATAGGAAAGCCAATTAGAAATGTGCCGTTTGGTTTTCTTATCAAAAGCAACATTAAAGAAAAAGAGAGTAAAACATTCAGTGCTCCTCAATGTCTTACTTTGAGAGGACATTCATTTCATTTCAAAATACAGCGAGGTTAGCCAACACAGCCCACTCCTCGGCGAGGAAGGCCGCGGCAGCAGGTGCGCGAGCTCGGGCTCAGAGCCCTGCCCATCCCTGCGGCTCAGTGGTTAGGACACATCAGCTACTTTTCTCAACAGACAATCCTCATGAAAATGGCTGCATTTTTTTTCTTTTGCAGAATATAGCATTTCTTGAAATAGTTTGCAGTATAAAGACTGATGCTAGAGGGTACTGTATCTTTAAGGCAGTACCAATGAACACATTTACAAAATGGAAAAGGTTAGTGTGAATTTTTTCTTTTCTTTTGTCTGTCTGTCTGTCTTTTTATTTAATTATTTTTGGTTGGTTTACATCCCTCTGATTAAACTTTCAACTTAATTTCCAAGGAAGTCACAGGCATAAAAATCTCCAACCTGTGTCCCCTGAATAACAGTAGACAGACACTTCTCTGATGAAAATCCTTTTGCTCAGGAAGCTGGCATCCAGGGTGAGTTCGGTTCACAGGTTCTGTACGCTTATTGTACAATACTTTGGAGGCATATATAGTTGCAAAATAGAATATACAGGTCCGCTTCACAAAATTCTAAAAATAAAATATATCCTTGGCTATTGAGAAAGCATGAAAAAAATTCATATTAAAGGAAAATTATCGAGAAAACCCCTCAGGTCAGTTACAGAATCCCCCGGAGGTGGCGAGCGGGGTTGCTAACACGCGTGCTCGGGCTCCTCCATGCTCACGCTGCTCCGCCGGCTGCTGGTTTTGGAAGCTCCCGGGGACACGGACGAAAGAAGTGGATCCGTTACGCCAACAGGAGAAAGAGTGTCGTCCATCAGGATGTCTTCCAGTTTAGAGCCCATTTTTGTGGGGACACCGTAGGCCTGGCTGCTCTCGGCGCCGGCGCCCAGGCTGCTGCTGAAGCTGATGGTGCCGTCGGTGAGGTCGAGGGTGCTGGTGCAGGAGAGGTCCGCGTGGCGTGGCGGGAGGTCCTGGCTGCAGTTCTCCAGCGCGGGCTCCTGCTTGATGATGCGGTTCACCAGGTCCGCGGAGCAGAGGCCCGAGGACGGAAGAAGGGAAAGGCCGTGTGCTCGGGCCTGCATCTCAAGTTCCTGAAAGAAAAGGGAAAGTCAGACCCTGCACCTGAAGGGGCACAGAGGGCTTGGGGCACAGACACTGTCCATGCCCACAGGACTCGGTCGGAGAGGGATAGAGGGAGGATAGAGGAGGGGAGGGAGGGAACCTGAAAGGGTGAGGACAGGCCTGTGGTAAATGCACCCCGTGGTAGGAGAGGTGGATCATGGTGGGCGGGATTGTATGGAAAGGCGCTGTACCTTCTGCTCAGTTGTGCTGTAAACCTACACTTGTTCTAAAAAATAACGTCTATTTTTAAAAAAGCATACACTTAGAGAGAAAACAATAAATATTATTTATGTTCACAATGAGAAGTTAAAAAATCAAAATAAAATTTTCAAATGTAAGCTGCTGATTAAAGGGAAATGTTCAGTAAACATTATTGGTCTGTGGTCACTAAACTATGCACTGAAGTATTCGGGGGCAGCAAAGCACGCACAGGGCCCTGGGGAGATCACCTCAGGGGAGTGGTCATACGCTGTGAGGGCCCCGCCCGCGTAGGGGTCCATGCTGGGCTGGCTGCGCCTGGGCTCCTCCGCTGCATGGAGCAGGGCCTGGAGAGGGGGTGGGGTGGCAGTTCTGACAGACGTCAGCATTGTGTGGGAGTCACCTTGCAGCAGAGACGGTGGCGGCTGCCACCTCCTACATCCAGGCACACAGGCCCAGAAGCAAGTAATGCAGGTATCCTATCCTATCTAATAAAAGAGTAATATGCAAATTGACCATCACTCCAACACACAAGGTGGCTGACCCCATGTGGACACAGATGGCTGCCACAAGATAGCCAGCAGGGGAGGGAAGTAGGGAGGGACTAGGATTGGGCCTAAATGGGCAGTCAGACATCCCTCAAGGGGTCCCAGATTGGAGAGGGTGCAGGCTGGGCTAAGGGACATACCACCCATGCACAAATTTTGTGCACAGGGCCTCTAGTTTTAAAATATAAAAATGCTATTTTTCTTAATTTACATGTTTAAGTTTTCAAACGCCTACTAAGTGGTCAGGACCTAACAGAAACGGGAAGAGTCACTAAGGCACCAGGGCCAGCAGCACTAAGAAAGTGGGCAGTAGTGGCAAAAGTGATGAGGTTTGCACAAGAACTGGAGGTTGAGAAGCATCATTCTGGCCATTTCATCACGGGAAATGAACATTTCTTTTAATTCCAGAAAAAAAGTTCTCCTCTGACTAATTCCTTCCTCCACCTCCTTCCCATGTGCTGAGCTGACTCCTGCCTGCAGTGCCTCTGCACGGGGCTGTTAGGAGACAGTGTCTTCAGAGAGGTCCGTAAATCACAACAAGGTCACTGGGGCCAGACCCAGCTTGCTGCAGCCCTGGGTCCTTGTGGAAGAGGAGGCCAGGGCGCAGGCGCAGAGGGAAGGTGCCTTCCACGCCCAGGAGTGCTTTCCGGAGAAACCAGCCCTGCCAACTGCCTTCCCGGGACTGCACTGCGAGGAAATGACGTCTCTGCTGTCTACAGTGCCTGATGGACTCCAGCACTCATTTCAAAAGGCCTCTCCTTCTTCCCTCCCGAGTATCCCTGCACCCTCCCAAAAGGAACCTAGAGACTCGGACAGACTCCCCAGTGCGCGTTCTCCCTCCCTGTGCAGCGCCCCTTCGGCAGCGGTGATGCGGTAAGAACAGCAGTGAGGCTGAGCGAGCCCCAGGGCCTCTTCGGAGAGGAGAGCGGCCCTGCAACATAACGAAGCCTCAGCCTCGGCCCACACACCCAAGGACCTACCTTGCGGAAGAGTCGTGTTCAGTCTTTATTAAAGGCTGTTTGACCTGCAAGACCTTTGGATGCAATACATCCAATTACTTGCAATACAAGTAGGAGCCACAGCCAGCAGCACCTGCCTGTCCCCTCCTCTCACCCTCCAGAAACACCTGTCTCTCAGCATCTGGTCAGAGCCTGGCTGTGGGGTAAAACGGGGATTCCAATGCCATTCAGCCTCATGCTTTCCTCTGTGAGACTCTGTGCGTGCATCACTTAGGATGGAAACGGAAGGAAGCCCTGGCTGAGAGCGCCCACTCTGTAAATCCATACCAATGTGCTAATAAGAACGCACTCCCACACAAGCAGTTTGTCTTTCAAACCAAATAATAAAGTTGAACTAAGAGAGGCAAACATCCTACTCTATCTTCTGTTATTTAATTTAAAATATTTTTCAGCTGACTAAAGCCTTTCTTATATTCCTAAATAATGCGATGCCTCTCATCCAAGTGCAGGCTTGAGTCTGCCGAGCTATCCTGACTGGTCACACTTCTGGGACACACCAATCCTGAGGACTGTCTAACTATCACATAGGAAACCCTGAGATACTCCCCTTGGGGATTTTCATCACTATTTTACAATACTTGCATTTCACACAAAAAGACATATTTGGAGTCTTAAAACAAAACCTAGACTCTCTTTCAAAACAATTACTATTCTATCTAATAAAGGCCCAATATGCTAAGTGTCTGGTCAGCTGGTTAGCCTTCCAACTAATCAAAGCATAATATGCTAAGGCCACTCAACACTCAGTATGATGTGCACTGACCACGAGGGAACAGATACTCCGACCAGTAGGTTACCTTGCTGCTGGGGTCCGGCCAATTGGAACTGAGCAAGATGGGCTGGACACACTCTGGAGCCCTCTCACAGCCCCTCCCAACTGGTCAACCTCTCACGTCCCTCCCTGTCCCTGATCATACACTAGTGGGGTCCCTTGGCCTGGTAATTCGGAACCCCTCAGGGGATGTTGGAGAGCTGGTTTCAGCCCAATCCCACAGGCCAGGCTGAGAGATCCCACTGGTGCACGAATTTGTGTACCAGGCCTCTAGTATCTAAATATTTGTATGAGGAACGAGCACATTAGTACAAGCTGCTTTTATAAACTGGTGCCTAGATTCAATAGATCCAAGACATGTAGCTCCTCAGTGAAGAATGGGACATAGGACCAACAGCAAAAGCCAAATAAAGGGAGGGCAAGAAGGAGAAATCTACATTTCAGCTGACTGCTTCTTCCCTGCTGAGGTTCTAAAATGTGCCCCCAGAGGCCAGCTGTCCTCACCCCCCTGTGCAAGCGGTGCCCACAAGTGTCCCGGTGGTGTGACATGGAAAGATCGAGAGCATCGTTATCAGTGAACTACTCAGCCATTAACCCCATGTCTGGGCCTCCCAGCACTACGGCAGACAACTGGTCGCTAAAGTGCTGCACTTTGCACTGCCATTCCATGAACAGTTGCCTTGGAAACCTGAAACGTAGCCACTGCTTTATGGCAAAATCTGGTACGAGGTGGGTTCATCTACTCAAGAAGAAGGCAGTGACTCCTACTGGTGGGCCGTGTTCAGTCGGCCAGGACATTAAAAATACTCCTGCAAACTCCTTCATCAGTAGCAGCCTGTTTTTCTTCCTCTTTTTCAAGGCAGTTTCAGAGGAAGCTGTGTTTACACTCGGCGCCAGAGTCCGTGCCTGAGAGAAGGCCTGGCTGACACCGGGGGACCCTGCTCACGCTGCACTGTACACACACCCCCTGAATGAAATGGCGGTGGATCCTATGGACCCGTAAAACTAGTATTTCTCCCACTAAGAAAATACAGTGTAAACTAAAGATGCACCTGGTATAAGTTCACTCTCTGTCCTACTTCTTACATCTATGTCTTGATGATAAGATCCTCTGGGCATCCCCAAGTTGCCTATTAACATGGGCTCTGACCGTGGACTAACCCCTTCCCCTCCAATACTAAGGCATCTTTGTACTGAGCAACTATAGTCAGTTCTCATCATGCGCAGGAATCAATCACAATGTACATGCTCCCCAAATTCCTACATGGAAACCGATGTCCCGGGTGATGGCGTTTGGAGTCAGAGCTTTGGGAGGCGCTTAGGTAATAAGAGTGCAGCCCTCCTGGGCGGGACCTGTGTCCTTATATAAATACCCCAAGAGCGCCCTCACCCCTTCCCCCACGTAGGACTTGGGCAATGAGGCGCTGTCTCTGAACCAAGGAGCGAGCCCTCCTCACCCTCAGGACCAGCTGGCGCCTCGGAATGGTGAGACAGTGTGCGCGGTAAGCGATGGGCTGTGGCAACTCTGTCAGCCGCAGAGAGGACTGGGCTGCAGCCACAGAGGGATTCCTTGCTCCTGGGGACACAGCTGGGCCTGCGGGCCTCTGGCCACACTCCGTCCCGGAGCCAGGCTCCCTTATCTAATATGTAATGTTATTGGTGAGCACTGAACTCGCTAACAGCACTGCAACTTATGTTCCACGTCAGCTGAGCTCCAACAGACCCAGCACAGCCTTAACTGCTTGGGAAACTAATCAACACTCTGGCATGGTGCTTACAGGCCACGGTAATTAGCAAAATCACCTACAAAACCCTCAACAATATAAAAAGCCTGGCACTAACCAGACTGAGAAAAGGACATGGTCACAGGCGGCGCTGAGAGCAAAAGGCGGAGCCTCGCCTGCTCCCCCTGCGGCACATGTCCCGGGCAACTCACGTCTGCCCTCTGCAATTTCAAGAATGACCAAAAGGTGCCTTGAATGTTGCTCTGGGTTACAAATATATCGTTACAAGTGGCAGATCCAAATGGGGAATCCACAAATAATTCGGATCACGTGAGTCAACGCCCGGGGGCTCCCTGCACCCTTTCTTCCCCCGGTGAAGCCGTACCTGGATGCGGAGCAGCAGGTGCCGGTTGGCGTGCTCCAGCTTCTTCTGCCGTGTCTCCAGCTCCTTCGCCCGCTGCTGCTCCCGCTGCAGCTTCCGGATGTAGTCCACAGACGCCTTTAAAATGGTGCCCTTGTTCCAGCGCATGTCCCTGGTGAAGGGCAAGGAGACAGGCTCTGTATGACTAAGGCTCAACGAAATGCAATGGTCGGAGCAATTTCTAAAAATGCGCTACGGAGTGCAGGTTGGTACAGCTACCAGTCGCTGCCATCCCCTCTCTCCCCTGTACCCCGAGGAGCACCCTGGCAGGCATGGTGTGCACGGGCTAGCCTGGGTCAGAGTTACAAGGTGTAGTCAGGACCTAAACACTTAGGTCTGTTGGTTGCAAAGTCAATATTCTTAACTTAGTTATCATAGTAAATAGTTACAGCTCTCTATCACATTAACTATCACATTAACTCAGAGAATAAGCTGTGGCAAAAACATCTCATGATGTCTCACTGCCTGATTGTGTGAGGCACACAAGTGGCATCCTTGAATTGAGTCGTGGTTTCCATGGACAGGTTATCTACTTCTCTGTCTTTATTTCCTCCTGTAAACCGTGATATGACCCTCGCAGGAGCAGCCTCCCGGGATGTTATTGGAATCAGAGGGGGCACTTTCTATAGAAATGCTGTGAGAAGCTGAGGGTGCAATTCTGTGTGAGGGGCTCCATGTACTCACAGATGGCTATCTTTAAATAGCTTTCACTAGGTACCAGGTGCTTTACCAAGAATCTTACAGCTCATTTACTCCTTCCGACAGACTGGGAAACTCAGGCACAGAAAGGTCAAAGCATTTGCCGAAGGCACATGGCTGGGAAGCAGTAGGCCAGGAAGCTGAGATTGCCTGGCTTCGGACGCAGGCTCTACACCACTGTGCCATTCTTCCTCGTATATAACTGAGTCCTCAAAACCACTCGCCTAGGCAGGATATGCTGACTGCCCCTTTGACCAGCTGAGGTGAATGAGCCCGAGAGCTCCAGGCTCCTCCCACACAGAGTCTAGGAAGGCCCGTCTGGGAATCACACCCAGCACCTGCGGTCCAGGCCCCTCAGTCTGTGATCGCCACAGCTCTAATGCACTCGTATGTGGAACAAACAGAACACCACTTAGAACAATCCAGATCAATGACTAAGGATGAAGCTATAATTACATAATATTCCTATAGCACTTTAATCTGAGCCCTTTTATAGACAATATTCATGACGATGACAATGATAGTGATGACAACAAAAACAATTTTAATGCATGAAAACCTCCAAAGCTTTACTGTACAGCTGCTCAAAGTGGACCAGAAGTATCAGGTGGCCGGGTAAATGGAGGGCGGTTAACACAAGTCTCCAAGTCACGGATCCTTACATGGTCAGATAAAGAACAAAACAGAGTTCTCCCAGGAGAGGCAGCGTTCAGGCCCCTGAGAGCTCCTGGGGGCTGATCCCCAGGGCCTAAACACCAAAGATGGCAGCACAGAAGGTGTCCTGGGATTGAGCCAGCTGGCTAATGTCAGGGCTAATATCCAAGGAACAGAAACTTCAGCAGCCAGCAAGAAAGGCAACTGCACTGAAACGTGCGCCTTGCTGAGGCCAGCAGGGTGAGGAAAGTTACTGAGACACGCACACAGCCGCTTCCTGTGGAAGAAGTGGCCATTCCAACCAGTCATCCTGGGTTTACTTCCTTGTGAGAGCCAACCAATTAATTAAGCTTCGGGGCTCAAAAGAAGAGTTTTTAAGCTCCTTTGTTGTAACGAGAAAGAACCCATTTTCACATAGAAGTGTACATAAATCCCTACCATGTAAATGGACAAGAGCAGGTCTGCTGAGGGCAGGGAGGGCATGGGGCCGAGACCATGGTCCGTAACTGTCTCTTCAGTCGCCCCAGGGTCTGCTCGGACCTGGCACGGGGGTTTGGGGGTTTCCGTAACAGATGACAGTCCATTTTATCTTAAAACAATGCCTACCAATTCAGATCATTATCAGTTTAGATTGTAAACTTAAGTGATGACCAAAGGAGAAAGGAGATAGGCAGGGGAGGCTTTCTCTCTCGCCCAGAACTTCATCCTTCAGTAAAGAGATTCCCATGCTGGCCTAAAAGTACATGCTAAGAAGCGAGAGCTGATGAAGAACAGGAAAGGAGGGATTCAAGCTCCGCTATCTTGCCAGAACGAGGACAGGAAATGAAGGTCACAGCCCCTTCGTGGGATAAATGTGTGCTGCAGAGCTGAGAATGCGAATGTTCTGAGTTTCAAAATGGTTTTCCTTGATAAACCTGGAAAATAAAATGTGGATGATGGAAATTGTGCTTGAACATTCATTCATCAGAGCCACCTCACAATGGTTTCATTTTATTTCGTCACAAATACCCTGACAATAATGTGAATAGCAAACTTAATAAGCCGTGCATGAATAATGGCTGATTTCATCTTTCCATTTTATTAGATAGCTAAAAGGTCATATTCACCCGCTAATTTCATCGAATGCCTGTGGGAGCCATTAAATGTGATCATCCTGGAGCCCCTCACTTCAAATGGGCCGCTGTCTAATGGCTAAAAACTCTGTGTGTTGTCCTGTTTGCTGCTGCCGCCAGCAGGAAAGAGACCTTTACACTGTGATCCCCCAAGCAGCGGGCGGGAAGACAGACAGCTAAAATCCAGGCGCTGAGCTATGTACTCAGAAAAGGATTAAAAAGTACTCTTTTTTTTTTTTTTTTCTAGAAAGGAAAACCATACAAAGAACACGAATGTTTAAAAAACACACACAACTGTTAAACGTGAAGTCTGCAATAGCAGCTCTCAGTGCCTACAGATGCCGTTCGAGATGAAGAGCAGCCAGCAAAGCCCGGCTTCAGCAGGCACTGCGATCGCTGTCCCGCAGCAGCTGGTACATTTTGTTTAGCAGCTCAGCGTTTGCTTGCCAAGGATTCTCCTCACACCCAGAGCTATCTCATGTCCAGTCACCCTGCTGTCCAGTTCGGTGCACTTCCCTCAGCATCTTAGTTGATGAGACTATCAAAAGCAAGGTGTATGGCGTATTTAGAATGAAACCCAAGGAAAGGGGGACTTCTTTACACTGGATTTCATAACGGTGCAGTTTTTGCAATATATGAAAAAAACATTAAGGTACAAAAAATATACGATGCAGATTAACATGCAATTGTACTCACGGATCATTGGACTTGGGAATCAAAGTACCTAGTTCTTTAATGCGGTCATTTATGTTAAATCTTCTTCTTCGTTCAACTTCAAGAAAAGAGCACAGGAAGAACTATTAGAAACAGCATCGCACTGGCATGAAAGTATCTCATTAATGACATATGTGTATCAACCTTATGGCTCAGGACCACGGAAACCTGACCATGTATTTCCGTCTTTCCGTGGTTTTGGTACTGAGGTTAAAATAGCTTTTCAAATGAGCTGTAATTATTAAGCCCTCAGATATACATTTCTCATCTGATCTCATCACAACCCTGGATTGGGGTTCCTATACACCATTACAAACAGGAAAACTGCCCTGAGACTAGGGAGGCAAGGACACAGCAGGAAGTGGGAGGGCCAGGTCCCACCCTGGCTGCACACCAGGCAGACTTGCTGCAGAGGGCCCTGGGGATTTCGGCTCTGCTGGCTGAGTGGCAAGAACTGAGGCCACTATGTAGGCACTCACACAACAGGAGATAAAACAGACTTCCACAACTTATTTACTGATCAAAGTCAACGCCAACGATCACATTAACCAGGTGAAACGTGTGTGCAGTGCACGTCTACTAGTAGAAAGCCTGGCTGCCGAAACTTAGACTTTATATAACTTTTACATATCCCAAAGTGTCATTCCTGTTTAGATTTTTAAAAACTATTTACGCCAAAACCGGTTTGGCTCAGTGGATAGAGCGTCGGCCTGCGGACTGAAAGGTCCTGGGTTCGATTCCGGTCAAAGGCATGTACCTTGTTGTGGGCACATCCCCGGTGGGGGATGTGCAGGAGGCAGCTGATCGATGATTCTCTCTTATCGATGTTTCTAACTCTCTATCCCTCTCTCTTCCTCTTTGTAAAAAATCAATAAAATATATTAAAAAAAAAACTATTTAAAAATGTAAAACACTTTCTTTGCTCAGAGGCCACACAAAAACTCCTGCTCTGGCCCAGTGCTTCCCAATAGGAACATAATGCAAGTTGTAGATGAAATTTTAAATTTCTAGCAGCCACATTAAAAAAGTACAAAGAGGTGAAATTAACTTTAACATTTTAATAAACCAATATATTCAGATTGTCATTTCAACATGTAGTCAGTATAAAAATTTATAATTTACATTCTCTCCTTTGTACTAAGTACTGTACTCATACAGCATGTGACTGCTTCAACGTGCTCGCCAGGCCCTGTGACGTGTGGCTGTGGTCCGGATAATCCACCAGAAGGTACGTCCAGCACCCTTACCTATATCACCAGCCCAACAGCGCCCCCACTCATAAATCTAGTTGTATGTTCTTCTTAGAGGAAGGTGAAGGAAGTAGCAAAGCATATGTGTTAATAAATGTTCTTAATTTATTAATTCCAAATAACTTAAGGTCTAATAAATTGAATTAAAGATGTTAACTTTTTACTTTAAATTTATTATAACCTAATACATATTTATTATTAGATTATTTTGTATAACTGAGTACATATTTACATTTGATTCACTTGAATAAAAAATATTGTTCACTACTTCCCAAAATATGCTGCCTTTTTAAGCTGAGTGATGATCTCTATCATTAAATCAATCATATATATTACTGTCCATCACTGAGCTTTTATAAAAAACAGAAGTAACAGGTCATATGCAATGGTGCCGAAGGAGGAGCTTCTGCACCTCTGATCTGCTTAGCTAACCTCCTCTGACAACGTTCCTTCCTTTTCCAAAGCACATAATAATCATAACATTCACACAACACTGAAATACACCGAGTGACACGAAAGCCTCCTACAACTCAGCAACTGCTTTTACATGTCTTACATGTCCCTGGTGATTATTTTTAACCCTAAAAACACACACACACACGGGCTCCCGGCCACAGTTCTGGGCCTCTCCAGGTCCGCATTCACCTCCTGTGGCGGCGCCGCCTCCCGGGTTGAGACTCCACAGGTGCACACCCAGCCTGGCATCCTCCTGGAGCTCCAGACTCGCAGGCCGCCTCCTTGCCTCTGGGGAGCTCTAGGGGCAGCCTACACTCCGCCCAGGTTCCTTCTCCCTTTGCAGAACTCTCTCCTGGAATCAATGCTGCACCTCTGTCATTTCATATCCCACCGCTGCTATAGGATCAAATCTGTTGGCTCTATCCTCGCAGTATTTCTAGAACAGTCCATGCAGCTTGTACGGCTACTGATGGAAGCCACCATCTCCCACCTGGATTCCTGCAATCCAACTACCTAGTCTCTGTGCTCCACCCAGACCCATCATTCCCCACCCCCATTGGTCTAGCCAGAATATCCCAGCCGGAGGGGTCCCGTGAAAAGTAAGGCAGAGCACGGCTGTCCTTTGTTGAAAACCCTCCATCACTCCCCATCTCACCTGGACAAAAGCCCCACCCTCAAGGCATGCCACAAGCACGGGCACCTCCATCACTCCCGCTTCGTTTTCTACCCTCTCCCACTCCAAACCTATCTTTTATCATTACTCCTCTGGGTCTCTCTTCAGCCCCAAACTTCTTGCTATTCCTCAACCACTTTGGGACTCCACTCCCCACTTAGAGCTTCATACTGGTATCACCCCTGCATGGAGCACTTGTCCCCAAGTATCTGAGTGGCTCTGCCTCAGGGAGTGACCCACATTATCCTGTGAGCCTTCCCTGGCTATCCTATTTAAAACCCAATACCCACTCCATCCTGACACTCCACTAGTGAGTGGTTGCACTTTGTCTCCTCATAAAACTTCCTGCCACCCGACATCCACATCATTCATTCACAGGTTCACTTATATGACTTTCTACCATCTAATGCCTGTATTTTCTGTATGTATGTACATACTTTCACTGAGGCTTTCAACACATCCACATGAGCTTGGGTCATAGTAGGCCCTCGGTAACTATGTATTAAATAAAGAATGATGCAGTTGCATTAGAATAATTTAAAAAATAGAGGCCTGGTGCACAAAATTCGTGCACGAGGTGGGGGAGGTGTCCCTCAGCCCAACCTGCACTTTTTCCAATCTGGGACCCCTTGAGGGATGCCCAACTGCCTGTTTAGGCCCAATCCCACTCCAGGATAGGGCCTAAACAGGCAGTTGGACATCCCTCTCACAATCCAGGACTGTTGGCTCTCAAATTCTTGGCTGCCTGCTTGCCTGATTGCCCCTAACTGCTTCTGCTTGCCAGCCTGATCACCCCCTAACCACTCTGATCAACACCTAACTGCTTCCCTGCCAGCTAGATGCCCCTAACTGCCATCCCTTGCCAGCCTGGTCACCCACAACTGGCCTCCCCTGCGGGCAATCTTGTGAGGATCATCTTGTGTCCACATGGGGGCAGCCATCTTGTGTGTTGGAGTGATTGTCAATTTGCATATTACCTCTTTATTATATAGGATGATTCTACATCTATCATTTCTCACTTAACAGCATATTGTAGACATCTATCCCTGTCAATATTCAGATGTACTACATTTTATTTTTAATTCAATGCCTTCACTCCCAAGCTTTTTAAAATTATGCAAGTGGTATAAGCTTATATAAACTTGCAAAACATACAAAAGTATATAAAGGAAGAAGTAAAAACCACCTTTTTACACCATCAAACACCTATATTTCTTGTCAAGGTTGAGGGTGACTCCCAGAACCTCCCACCATGCACCCATAAACACACAGGTGCACATAGTAGGTATTCTGTATCTAATGAGACACTGCACGCATTGTTCTGCTTTGTACTCAGCAATGTATGGTAGACACCATCTGAATCAGGTGCACCAGACCACCCCAGCCTTCTAAGGGACACTGAGAATCCCCGCATGGAAACACCATACTTTACTTAAAAATTCTCTACTGATGACTATTTACACTGTTTCCAAGTTCTCCCTCTTTTTCAATGTATAAGAAGTGTTTCTGCCGGGACTTGCACATATATTTCCTTCCTATCATCATAATTCTTAATGTTGAACACACCACCTTGATGTGTTAGTTTTTTTATCTATTCTGCCGTCCCGGACTTGAATTTGAGTGCACAGTATGGGAAGCCTTGTTTGAGAAGGTGCCTCCCGTGTAGCAGGGGCTCAGTAAGCAGAGGAAGGAAGGGCTGTGTCCTTTTGCACATGTTGGCAAGTGTTCTCACAGATAAAATGCATGAAGAGGAGGAGCTACACCAAAAGGCAGAGTAACGTTGAGTGTCAATTTCTAATGGTTAGATGCCATTTCAGGGTTGTTTTGTAGCCCTCACCATGCTTGAGCTCACCATGCTTGCACTTCGACAACTATGAACTTGAGAGATTTGGTGAATATTGTTTTTGACAAGTTTTGGATAAGTTACTTATAAGGCATTTGAAAAGGAAAAATATCTAAGAGTAAAATTACTTGGAAGCTAGAGGAGACCTAATATTAACTCACATCTTTTGGTAAGAGACGAAGGAAGCTTCTCCTCATTGGATGGGACTGCCTAGGGCAATAGCCACTTAGAAAGACTGCCCTGGGGACTGCCTGCCTGCCAGCAATCCCGTCTCGCAGCTCCTGACCCGGAGCAGCAAGCTCCCCTGCACATGAACCTGAGGATAGCTATAATTACATTTCACTCTGGAAATCGTCTCTCTCTCTCCCCCTCAGAGACCTTCCCCTGGGAATCAGCAACCCGAGACAGCAGCAGACAGGAGCTGAGACTGAGGAATAGAGCTCTACAGGAGAGAACATTCTGACTGGGCTGTGTCAGCTCCTGAGCCCCAAGGTGGAATGGCCCCCTGGCTACTTTCCCATGAGACCAGACAGAGCTGCGCTCAGGAACTGGTTCCCGCCCCCACCCTCCCCCCGGCAGCTCCCGGGACAACTTGGAATCCCAACCCACAGAGCCCTGTGCTTCATCCTATAGAATCTGTAATGACACGCCACGCCACCTGGAGTCCAGGCTCTCCGGGGTGGCATCATTCATGATAAAACAGCCAGTCTTCCTCCCAGTGCTCAGGACTTAGGGTGTGGCTCTGCCAGCACTGGGTGGGGGAGGGGGGGTGGCTGGTGGAGGGAGCACAGGTTCTTTCTATTTGGTAACACACAGAGAGGCACATGCACAGATGTCCGCTGTGGCATTGTTCACAGCAGGGACACATGGAAACAGCCCTCGCAGCGGGCGGCCACGCCATGGACACGCAGCAGCAGCCTTCACAGGCAGCGGGTCAGTGATTAACGCAGGGGTCTCCGGGGCCCGCTGCAGAGGAAAACAGCAGGCACGGAGTGTGGACCATGCGACAGTGTCTGTTTCCTCATCACAGCGCAGTGCTTTCTATTTTGGGCGTGGCTTACAGACAAGGAAAGAGGCCAGAAGACCGACAGCAAATTGAGAAAAAGAAAGATTATCCCAAGGATCAGAGGAGAACTCTGGCCTTATTCTATCATTTCCGTCAGAACAGAGCATTTTATGTAACCTACATTCTTAAACATCAGTGTCGGAAAGAGAGCAAGGAGGCCATGGGATGAGACACTGACTCACAAGCGAACGGTTTCCTGCCTCCAAGCCCAATCCTTTTTGTTTTGTTTTTAACGCGCAGCCTCTTTACTTATTTATGAAACAAAAATCTTAAGTTTTTATAGGAACAGCTTAAACATTTGATTGAGAGTAAATTAAACACATACAAATAATTTTAAATGTTAAATTACTTTTATGTCACAGGTAAAGTAAAAAACTTGGAAGGCTACCTCACCTACTGATAGACTACCCCCCAGAGGATTCCCTTTTTCCTTTCAAATCTCACCGGAGAAGGTGCTCCCATAACCCTGTATTGTTAATAAGTTCCAGTGTGAGCAACACTTATAATTGGGTAGTTGGGGATCAAGTGTCTTTCACTCACACACATACAAAACCAATACTATAAACAAGGAAAACAGTCTTCAGGGTACTGGAAAATTTCAATTTGATCTGAGATAAAGTATGGGGAAAATACCTTGATTTCTCTGAAAAAATAATTTTCTACTATAAAATATGCCTTTGATATCATAGAAGTCAATTTCCCTCTAAGTTTTCTTGGGGAAAACTTGATAAAAAGTGAACATCAATTCCAACATTCACTATGACAAACAAAACCAACTTACTCAGGTTGTGATTGTCCTTTTTCTGTCTCTCTTTAGCCAAGGCTCTCGCTTCCGACTCTGTGGGGAAAATACACGCTGTGCACGTGAATGAAGCAATTAGAAACTGGAACTGGTCACGGCACAAAACAATGTGAACACAGAACAGCCCTGTTTCCAAGAGGCCAGCTCACCTGACCTGACTCCACACACTATGAAAAAGCAGGCAGTTTTCAGTCTAAATACATATCAAGTAAATGCACACCTGGGGCTTCTACAAGAGAGAGGCCGGAGGAGAAAAGCAGCAAGGACCTGGCATTCCTCCCTCAGGAGTCAGACCAGCTTTCCCGCCAACAGAACTTTTAAGTCTTTCTTTGATGCCTTTCTAACACACGCCCTAGAACTTCCAGCTAGAGCAGCACATGGAGTGGTTAGATGTATATTATTGTATATATTTATATCCGGAATTCACAGGCTGAATTAGTGCAATTGGAGAGGCCAGCCCCAGCATTTCCAGGCACTATTATTTATGCCACTCCACCTCAGGATTTTAATTTGTTTGGTTTCCTTTTGTTTCTGGGTTCCAGCCAGACCCCCCAGTTCTCTGCCTGCCAACCTCAGCTCTGCGGGCCAGCTCTGGTCAAGGCCCCCAATGGCTTCTGTGCATCTGCTGTGGCCACGTCCACCCACCTTGGCCCTGGGAGGAGGCTCCCTCTCAAGGTTGGGCACTCATTACTATCGACCCTTTTTTTTTTTTTTTTTTTTTTTTTTTTTTTTTTAGCAGTTCATTGCCTCTTCATGGTTAAAGAACATTTAAACCTCTGTTCAAATCACTGCCCGGTTTCCTCCTTGTGTTAATAAAGACCACTCCTCCCCTCCCATTAGGTCAGACCCTGGCTCCTAAGCCTGTCTGCCTTTGGTGACATCATGCACGCTCCCCTCTAGCACCCCAACTCCTGCCCATTGCTCCCTTTCCTGGCATGTTACCCTTGGCCTGTCCACATAAGTCACTTTTTTAGAGGCAAGTGACTTTAGAAGTTTACTCTCCATTGTATCTGCTTTTTAAAAATTTAATACATCCATACCCCTTCACCCACTTCTCCCACTCCTCACCCTGTCTCAGTAGTTTTCCTAGGTTTTTGAACAATCATATAGTACATAATTCAAACTCTACTTCGAACTCAAGTAGTAAGAATTTTAGTCATGTCGCTCTAACCATATTTTATTATTTAGCAATATTTTCTAAAATCTCATGGTACTTTTCTTTCCTGTAGGGTATTCACTAGTTGGTTGGCCTCTGATGGTATCTAATGTATTAATTAGTTATCTTTTTTAACCCAAATCAGTGATTTTTTTAAAAAAATTTTTCTCCTGCCACAATTTTCTGAAGTAATTTTTAAAGATACCGTTGAATAGGACAGAGATTTTTGGCACCAAATCTATATACCATATTCTCAGCCTATTCACCCAAAACCACAGGATGCAAGGACCAAACAGAAACAGGGGGTAGGTGGAGGGCCCTACAAGTCAGCAAGGAGGAATGCCTGGCCTACTATCCTCATGTTTTAATGGCCGACTGCCTTCCCTAACGCATTGAGCAAAAGGGAGAAATGGGTCATTTCACACTTGCCTCAGAACAAACAAGACCCGTCACTCCATTTTGTAATTTATTTTTCACTCTGTGTAATATGTCTCTTGCACTTAATACACAAAAATAATAGGAGGCATGTGAAAATGTAAGAAACATATTGTTCCCCATCCCAGCTGTGGGCTTTGGGGGCTGTGGCAGGAAAATTCACACAGGGGCCCTCAATGCCTCCAGGGCTTGACAAGTGACGTAAACACCAGGCCAGGCAGCAGCATTTACAGTTCTGTCAGCTGTCCCCCCAACGCTCCCTCCCCAGAGCAGCAACCATCACAGATACACGGGGCCGCACAGAGGTAGCCCAGGAGGAAAGGCAGCCCTGACTCCCGATATCTCTCGGAGCCTGGACACGAGGATTTTTAAGTAAAGTCCTCCATCTTAAAATATTGCTCTCAGTTTCACCTGCTGCACAGATTTTAAAAAGTATGTCTGTGAGTGGGAAACAGACTGGAGGTCACTGTTTTGATTACTTTACTCATGAGAAAATGAAGCAGCACATTTGCTGGGTGTTACCTGTGAGCTCCCTTTTGATGTTGGGAAGGTTGGCTGGACAGGAGTTGCTGACGGTGAGGCCAGGGGGGGGCAGTCCTTGATTGCCATAGAGGTCAATCAGGTTTCCGGACACGGGTAACTGGAGAGAGAAATCAGTAACGGAAATGAGTAGCTGAACAAGTCCTAAGTTACTCAGACAAAACCCATACCTATATTAGACTTTATTTAAAAGAAATGGTTGATGTAAAGTTGTTTTTTTTTTTATTAGAAAACATGAGAAGTTTGCCTTTTCGTTCACTCACAAGTGTATAATCTCCTTCTCTAGTTCCCCTTGTGAGAGGAAGGAACAAAGGCTCACACCCACAAGGGGTACAAGACCGGTTGGCAGAGGGCACCCCACACAGCTAGGGCCCGTGCGGGTGCTGGCTGATGCTGTAAAATAGGGTTCTATATGGCATGCCTTTCTCACTCAGTCGGGATTTTCACCAAAGCCAATTTCTTCCTTCCCTTTCCTCCTCTTATTCTTACTTATTGTTAATCTTATTCTCTCCCCTCCACCCCCCCAATGAAAAGCATCTTATTGGAAATAAGCATCTCTTTATTTCCAATGAAAAGCTTTTTTCTGAAACTGAAATCTTTCACAAAGCCACAAGAGGGAGCTCACAGACTTTAATAAAAGTAAAAAATTATACTTAAAAAAAAGGAGAAAAGGAAGCATTTAGCTTTCTTAAGATAGGTTAAAAGCAGCTTTCTCTAGCTCTGAACTGAATATTTTATAGTAATAAAAATGTTTGCCCCCAACAATGGCTTCCTTTTGTTGTATATATATTTTCCTCTGACTAGTTCATGGTAAGAGTTTGATGGGCCCATTTTTTGTAGACATAACAGGTCCAAGACATTTTGCTTTTCCCACTCCCTGAAATAAATTCTAAGGATTAACTACAGGGAGAGTGAAGTGAAACTTCCCATTTCCACCCAATTCAATTCCTGTAACTACTACTACCTGGTAAGGCTTTGCATCCCTCAGCTGTAAACTTAGATAGCATTCAATGTGATTAAAATGGTTAGTGACCAAGAGGTATTGAGTAAAGCTGTACTGCATATTCTACCTTCCATTCTCTCAAATAGCCACTGACATGCAGATGTAAATATCGCACAATAAAGATGGATCAAATGTGTTTCCTCCCTGGGCAGCCACCGGCCATTCATTTCTTTCGTGGCTTCTAATAAATACTCTATGAACTAAACTCCATGCTGGAGAGACAGGAGGCCTGCACACAGTAAGCTTTTTCCTGGCAGGAATAGGCGCCAGCTCTGCCCCTGCTGGGTGGGGGAGGGAGACGCCTACCAGCAGAGCAGGGCTCTCTCTTTGCTCCTAGGCTGTAGCTCCGATTAGAAGGACAACTCTCTCCCGGCCCCGAGGCATATAAACCAGGCCATGGGGTAATGTAAAAAGCTCCGGGACCACCTTTCAAGACCCTCTAACTAAGAAAGGGATAAAAAGGTGACTTTGATTATTAGCTATCATTTCATAAAATTGTTTTATTTTAATTAGGTCACCTTTTTAGGGTCAACCTTGCCTTGTGTGTGTTCAGTTTTATTCTTGTCCAGCTTAACACAGCAGAGCGAAAGGTGCTCCAATGTCTTAATATTGTAGAATTGGAGTTGAAATTATAGGGCTGCTGTGACTTCTCATCACCGTCTGGATCACAAAGACTCCGCCTCCCAGCTTTCTAAAATTTCAGATTCAGGGAGAAGTACTGGGTACTATTAAGCCAAGAAAATGACTCCAAAAATCAATATAACAAGCTAAATAACTATTCACATAGCTATGGAAATAAAGCATCTGAATCATGTTTTCAAATGTAACTTGAAGGGAAAGGTGCAATTGTGTATGATGATGATTGTTAGGAATTTTAAAATCCTGTCACCGATGCATCTGGAGACACCTGACAGCTTCCCCAGGACAAGGACATATTTCCTAACCATTTTCTAAAGGACGATGGTCTGTGTACACAGATTTAAGTGCAGAATCACAGAAAGAGAGACAGAAGGTGAAAGAATCAAAAACTGGGAACAAGACAGAGACAGATACAATGAGTGTGGGGTAGGAAACAGGACGAGAGCGCTACAGAGGCAGAGGGGACAAGGGATGGAAAAGCAAGTGAACTGGCCGGCAGGTGGGGAGACAGAGCCAGACTGGGGAGACCCAGCGAGGATGGGACTGGAGGCTGGAGTGGCATGGACTGGCAGTGACTCCTGGGAGGAGAGGACCTCCAATCTTCGGAGATGCCTCACATTACCCACCGAGTCAGACAGCGTTCCTTCCAGTTAGAAAAGCAGCGCAGAAGCCTCCATCTGCTTCAGCGTCCTTTCCTATCCTATCCTCACGATTAGGAGTTGGCAACACAGAGCTCAGCAGCACATTTTGCTGGGGAAAGCTGCATTTTGTGGGGGCTAGTCTGGCCCAGGCACAGAACTAGGCAGGCTCTTGTGTGTTATATTACTGATTTTGAGGGGAGAAAAGCCACAGTTCTAGCTGCCTGCATGGTAGGAGGCCCATGTCCCGCATTCTGGGCAGTAGTGGGGGAGGGCAGTTTCAACCTGCTGATGTTAGTGAGAAGCTGCAGTGTTCAATTAATTTCCAACTGGATCTGAACAATTCAAAGCCCAGAACAATTCAGAGTACGGTCAGTCAAACTCACAAAGTAATAATGTGGCAACTCTACACCTGGGCTAGGGAGTCAGAGACCAGTTCAAACCTGCTTTGGGCATGATTTGCTTTGATATAGGAAACCGTGCACCATGTTCATTACCAATGGTTGGCTGACCATTTTTCAGCCTGCAGCACCATCTAACACAGGAATCACAGTCTGTGGGGCTGAGATGCTCGCTCAGTATTTCAAACCAGTGATTTTCCCTCCAAGGGACATGTGTCAACGTCAAAGACATTGTTGGCTGTCACAACTGGGAGGGGTGCTACTGACACCTATGGGCGGAGTCCAGGGTGCTGCTACACATTGTGAGGTGCACAGGACGGCCCACGCCCAGGATTACCCACTCACATGTTAACAGTGCCACGGAAAAGGGGCCTGCCCTAAAGGGTGGCGTCTGCTTTTTGTATTAACGGCTGTGATTCGCTGAAGCTACAATAAGGATGGCTGATTACAATGGTACAGCTTTCTAATTGAAAGTCAGTCTCCTAGTCATGATGCTGTGGTTCCCCTTCTGGATTAGAAAAACCCCTCATAAACACGTGAACATCAACATCAGGTCAAAACCACACCTTTGGAGCTAAGCAAGCAGAGGCATCTCCTCCAGGGAGCGGTGTCTGCTGGACTTTACCAGCACCTCCACCTGGAGGACCAGACCTCCCTCCGGCCCACCAACGACAGGGGACAGCGGGGAGCACAGCCCCTGGCACACAAGAAGGCGGACTCACTGGGGGTGTGACCCCAAACTTGGTCTGGATCGAGTTGTTCAATTTTCTGATCCACCAAAAATGATTACTTTTTCAAGTAAATGATCATTGTAAAATATTTCCCTCTGGATGGTCCCCTTCTCTGAGTATCAATTGGGCACTGTTCGCATAAGCAAACTGGGACTTCTATTCTTTGTTCTGATGCCACAAGAGGCCCTTGTGCTCTCAGAAGAGTGGTTTCTAGGCTCCAGTCCCCTAAGGACAGTTTCCTCTCTGTGTTCCTTCCACTTTTTTTTTTTTTTTTTAATAACTCGAAACAAAGATTTCAAAGAATCAAATAAAAGGGGGAAATGCCTAACATGAAAAACATTGTTTAAACTTCACTGTGGAAAAAATTAAAATGTTAGTAAGTTGTAGTAGCTTTGTTATTTAATTTTGATAACCAAATTTATCAAAAATAAAGGCTTAACTAACATTTAGTGAGGGCATATCAGGGCCAGGACTGTTCAAATGCTTTTTTGGAGATGCATTCTTAATTCTAATGTTTAGATGCTGTTTTTAATCCCCATTTTCTGGACTAGAAAAGTGAGGCAGGGAATCACTTAAACTCTGCCCAGGGGGTCGGGGTGGGGGTCCTATCTGGAAACTGCTGAGACAGCCTCCCGCTCCTGACGCCCTATTCTCAGAGGAGTAGCCCCTCGCCTGCTGAGGCCTCCCCCAGTGCGGGCTGGTTATTCGGCATTTAGTGAATGCTAACCAGCCTTCATTCACTGCAAGAGCGTTCAGACAACGAGGGAATGTGATCCAATGTGGACAGACTGAGGAGACACATGGGGTTAGGCTAAAGCAGAGAAGAATGGGGTCATGACAACTGTCTCCAGAGGTGCTGTCAGGGACGAGTCCTCCGTGAGGTGAGCTGCGGCCATGTCTGGGATTCCCAGAGACTCCCGGTGAGGACATCTGGGTTACTACGTAGGAGGCTATTCTAACGTGCAGCTGGACACAATCAGGTGCTCAATAAATAGCCGGAATAAAATACTATTACAATTATTTTACAGTGTGAATTACACTTAATAATTAAATATGTGAGTACAACTTGTGTTGATGCTAACTGCCGTACGTCCTTTATGGGATGACCATGTGAGGGAGACACCATTATCAGCCCCATCTGACAGAGGGGAAGTGCAGGGCTTCAGGGAGCTAAGTAACTGCAAGGCCACCCGGACTGGAAGCCAGGCCTGCTGGGAATCTCCGGCTCCTGGCCGCTGTGCATTGCTGCTTCTCTGTGAGGAGGCCACTCCTTCCCTGGAGGCACCAAGCAGCTTTCCGGCTGGGGACACAGGACATGCAAGAGAAGGTCAGTGCAGAGAAGGGTGGCTCAGATGCCCTCATCCTTGGAGGAAATTTTTAAATGTTATTGATTCCACAGTTGTCCTGCATGGGGCCAGGTGTCCGCCAGACACCCACCACCAAGTTCTTTTGAGATGACTGGGGCATGGCTGATGGATGCGGCTGGGCATGGAAAACACTAGAAATATACCCCTGGCTTGGGGTGCATTTATAAATTCCCGAGGGCAAGCTCACCTGAGCTTTTGCCTGCCGACAGGTGTGGTCTGCCTCACAGGGGCACAAAGCTGGAAAGGGAAGGGTTCATGGAAGCAACCGAGGGCTCAGAGAGGACGGTGTGTTTGCATGGACAAATCTGTCAGGATGGCAGGATATTTAGTTCTTTCAAAATCAGGGAGTGACTTTAAATGGGAAGGAGTTGATAAACTAAAGATCCTAGAAGAGGCCTGAGGTGTCCTCACTCCTCCAGGCATCAGGTGATTGAACTTGATGGAAAAGAAAATGCTAACTATAAACATTGAGCTTACTAATAATGTAGGTGGAAATTTTTATAGGTTATCGTGCTTCCTGGCCAAGAGAACTTATTACAGGAATTTAGTTTGTAAAAATTATTCTATTGCAGTAAAAAAAAAATCATATAAAATATACCATCTTAACCGTTTTTAAGCGTCCAGTTCAGTGGTGTTAAGTATATTCACATTGCTGTGAAACATCTCCAGAGCTTTTTCATCACGCAAATCTGAAACTGCGCCCCGCAACCAAGGGCTTCCCTTTACCCCTGTGCAAGTCCACGTTTACACAGCAGTCATTAACGACCACGATAGCGCATGGCATTGCTCTCATAGAAAGCGACAGGCCTGGCTGGGCACACAAAAACTCCTGAGGAGCTGACAGCCACGCCACACCCTCTCACCCTATGACGGCAGCAACGCTAAACCCCACCTGACCAACAGAACTCACAGAATGACTGCGAGGACAAAAATACCCGTAAGAGACTGGCAGAAGAGTAACATAAGACACACATGTAAGGAGTGAAATACAGTAAACAATACAGGCAGTGCCCCAAATTTTAGGGGGCAGTGACACCTAAGAGCAAATATTCTACTTTTTAAAAATTTACTAAAACACCTAAGAGCAAATATTCTACTTTTTAAAAATTTACTAAAATTTACTAAATTTTGCTGCTGATGGTAACCTGACTGTCCCCCGTCACCTGTGAACAGCAAGACGCTGCCTGTCAGACTGCACTATCCTCTGGCCAGAGCCCTGCTGGCACAGCCCAGCGGCCGGGCAGCGGTGCCCAGCGGGAAGAGGATGCCGGGGGGACAGGAAGGCCTGTCCTGCTGAAAGTGGATCTGGCCTCTAGGGAAAGTGGAGTTTTGTAAATTTAACGTTTGATGTCCAAGTCACTTCTTTGTGATCCTGAGATAATTCTGTTTCATTACTATACATTTCTTCATGAATCACTTCCAAAGATAAACTAAAAGTTCTGGGAAAGGAAGAGAACACTGAAAACAGCTTAAGGTTTTCCTTAAAGAAAAGTCATTAATACCGTGTTTGCCATTTGCAAGGCAGGATCCATCAAGCTCAGGATTTCTTCATTGTAACTTGACTCTAGGCTAATGATGTCATCGATAACATCATCCATCTGCAGAAAAAAGGGCAATGGGAGAGATGTAAGCAAAACCATGCAAAGCAACCCAAAAGAGATCCAACTCTTTTCCGACCCAAAGCAATGATGCTCTGTAGTTAGATTCTCCCAAAATGTGAGCATGACTGAGGCCGTTAGCACGCACAGGTGGCAGGAATGGCACTCACCAGCTCTGTGTGCGTGACGAGCGGGCACGGCCCTGTGCTCAGAGATTTAGCTGCTGCAGGAGCCCAAACAGGGACCGTGCTGTTATTACAGCTGTTTTCCAAGCAGGATAAACGAAAGCAACTACCCCTAAGTCACTCATGCAAGGCTCAGCATCCCAAGTAGAAACCAGGCTCTCAACTGCGGTGGTATTTCACTTCCGGGGCCCTCCTTGGAGGGGTTATCATCACAGCCCTGGAGCTGACATCCCACGGGACAATTTTATTCCTAAAGTGTCAAAGCACCACTGTGACGATAAATAGCAGTGATTATGTGTGTATCGCAGCTGCTGGAAGATGAGTCTGTGAAAACATTTCTCTACCAGCAAACACCTTATGTACATGGACTGGTTGTGTATGTGTGTCTGTGTGTGCACACGCGCATGGGCATGCCACAAGGCCTGGATCTTAAGAGTCATTCGTAAGCACATGACAAAATCTCAGGACTCAGAGACATGGTCCTGTGGGTCTTTTTTTTTTTTTTTTTTTTTTTTTTTTTTTTTGACGTTTCCAATTAAAGAGGACAAGCTCCAATATCATGGGACTTGTTGGAACTTTTGTTCTCCGTCTTTCTGTACTGGAGGCAAAGCCCCCAATCCTTAATGCTTCAGTGGGCCTGTCTGTAAAATGGGTTCATAATGCTCACCACCTTACTGGATTCTTATAAGGTTTCAGAATAAATCATGCAAAGTGCTCAGGGCCTGAGAAGAGTGACTGGAAGTCAGTTTTGAATAACTGCCAGCATACTTTATTAAGTTCCATCTGTAGGTATACCAGCTTTGTTTGTTTTTAAGAGATAATTTTCTAATTATGCTAGTGAACAAGCAGATGGACCAAGGGACTTAAAAAAACCTTCCTTTGTAAATTTTTATTTTCTTTTCACTATAAAAATTAGAAGACCTGGTGTGATAAAATGTTTGGTTTTTTAAAAATATTTTATTGACTTTGTACAGAGAGGAAGGGAGAGAGCTAGAGAGTTAGAAACATCTATGAGAGATATACATCGATCAGCTGCCTCTTGCACACCCCCTACTGGGGATGTGCCCACAACCAAGGTACATGCCCTTGACCGGAATCGAACTCGGGACCTTCCAGTCCCCAAGCCAACGCTCTATCCATTGAGCCAAACCGGTCTTGGTTGATAAAATGTTTTAAATAATTTTTTTCTTTTATGAAAAAAGTAATGCAAGCTGAAAATATACAAAAAGCAATAAATTTTGTGTTTATTTTGCTTTCTCTTCTACATTTATACATACATTTTAAATATATAACTATATCAATAAGTGAATGAGCATAATTTATATACCCATTAAGTAGACTGTCAGAGAACCTTTAATTACTTGGGAAAATATCCATGAAATATTAAATTAATAGTTTCAGAATATATGCTCCATGAAATTCCATTTTATAAACAATATATAACATATGAACCTATTACTGATAATAGCCTATCAAAACTGCTACCCTACACATTTGCATAATGTGCACATATGATGGTATCTAAATGAATTATAGCATTTTAACCTTGTTTACTGAACTTTATGTATTATATGCACTATTTAATTGCTTAAAACAACTTAGGGAAAATGCATTTTAACATCTAATCTCTTAGTAACTATTTAATCTTGAGACACTGGAGAAAATGGCTCTATTTATAGCTTTTTATCTTTAAAACTAAATCAGTAAAGGGAATAAAGGAAAATTCACTTTACAAAGTGTACAGACTCTGACCTCATGAAGCTGAGAGCTCTAGGCACCTCTCATCATAAGTAAAATAGCTGAACGGTTTTCACTAACGACAATTACTGGATATCTGAGTCCCATGGGAAGCTCAGTACTGTGTAAAAATGGGAAATGATGTATATGATACAGTCTACTCTGAAGATTCGCAGTGAACATGAGAACTGAAAAGGCTCTCACTATCCCTAGAGAAAAAACAAACAAAAAGCTGCTTAATTGTATTTATTTATACAAAATTCTCTCTTTCTGGACCACAGCATATTCCCTACTCCCGTGGCCACGCGCAGTAACCCTTGTTAGTATCCTGTAGCGCAGCCCAACAGGAGGAGAAACTAGAGAAGTGACCGCATGCGAGGTGAAATGTTACATCTGCGGTCAGGGGGGCATCCAGACACATGGACATGCCAGGGTGTCTTGAAGGATAAGTAAGGACCCGGTACAATCCAGAGAGAGAAGGAGTCTTGGCAAAATATCAGAGCATGTGTGGATGCCCTCAGTTGTGAAACAAAATGGAATATAATGGAGTGAGTAGGAGTGGTATGAGTTCAAACTGAAATAAAAGGCATACTATATAAATACATAAATAAATAAACAAAACAAATACAAAAATCAAAGGGTGGGGGGGGGGTCTTAAACATCAGGATGGTGTGATTAGCCACAAATTCCGATCCTCATTCCCAAGTGTTCCATCCTGGGCCCCGAGCCCCTCAGTACCTGCATGCAGGATGCTCGGGAGTGTGTGTTCATTGTTGGGCATTCACTCTCCGCCCTGTTTTGTTCTTCAAACTTATAAAATCCCTGCAAAAACACAAGCGAAATCAGCCCTTGACTTGGGTTTGCAAATGACCCTTCAACCACATGTTCACATGAGGCTGATTGGGCAGCAACAAGATGAACTACATTTTCAAACAAAGGTGAATCTGAGCAAGAAATGAAATAATGAAACTTGCATCAAATCAGCCTGTTAGATGACAAATATGGGCAGAGAAAATAGGACAGTTGGTTTGGGCAGGGGGTAAAGACTTGATGCCTTTAGAAATTAAAATCAAGAATACTTCCGAAAAGTCACCTTGGAGTACACCGAAACTCCATTAAAATGAGGCTCAGCACCTCGTAATCTGGAAATGACAGACTTAAATCACAACTCTCTTCTCAGATTTCCATGCACCAGATTCTGCGGTCACAATTAGTGGCAGGTGTGTCTGAGTCTTGTCTCCAATTAGCCTTTACAAAAGCAGGTTGGATGGGCAGCAGCTTTTATGATAAACTGAATTTGCCCAGCAATTAAACACTTGCCTTTCTGTTAGATTCTCGTGGGCTGTATTATTCAAATCCATCCACACACATTCTGTACTATTTTTTCCACTCAGGGAGAAATACAAGCGGAACTTCAAACCGCCTGTCCCACACCTTGTCTATTTTTGCTTTTCCTTTTCCACCTTCCCTCTCCTCTCTCGCTGCACTTTCACTGCTTTGTAAATGGAAAGGCATTGAAGAGAAGAGTACCCTGAGCAGAGGCAGTGGAAACGGGCAGAAAATGGCCAGGTCTCCACATGCGCCATCGCCCAAAACTCAGAGAGGCTGCGAAGGGCTGGGAGCTGGGCAACCTGGGACAAGGCCCGTGAATGGAGCCACGCAGATAGACCATAGTCCACAGTCAAGTGCAGGAACAATATCCAACAGACAGTCATTTAGTGTAAGAAAACAGGAGAGGGAAGAGACATGAATTACCTCTTTTTCACAGTTGGAGTTAAGTGTGAGCATAGCCATGGGGCTGTTGGGTGCGCTGCTCCCCGGCACTGGTGGCATGACATGATCGCCAGGCTGGTTTGGACATGGCAAGCTCAGGACTTGGTTGGCATGTTTATTTGCTAAAGTGGTAGAAAGGTACTGCTTTACCTGCTGCCTTTGGGCTTGCTGTATGTGGTACTTGGTGGGGTTTTCCAGGTGGGTCTGCACCTGAACATAGCCGCGGAGGGAAGAGAAGACAGTGCTGTTATTGGTGAGTTCAGACAGCTCTGGTTTCAGGCACAGATGTGAGGCGTGCCAGTCCACTGACAGAATCAAGACCAGTCCCAGGTGCATACCAGGCACTGTGCTCATGGGTTCTCATATCACTGAAGTCCAGAGCCTCACTCTTAGGACTTGGGCTCCCACTTTGCCTGTCTGGTTTCCTGGGGAATGAGGGTATATCTCTGTAAACCGGCCCTTCTTTTCAAGTCAAACTAAAAATATACAACTAACTGTAGGGCAAAAATTTCCCCAGCACACCTGAACGGATTTATTAAGATCAAAACAATAGTCTAGAAGAAGGAGTATAGCATAACTCAACTTATTTCACTTTCCTTGGCAAACAGAATAGCTTCTTGTTTTGTTTTGTGTGTGTTTTTTAATTCCATAAGAAACACCTGAAAAATGGTTACTAAAAATAAAAACATTCTGATGATTAAAGCAGGTGTCGTGGATTAAATCCTTCACTTTCATTGGACACAATTAGTCAACATCTTAATTAAGATCGTGAACTCAACCGAAAAAGCAAATGCCCATTAAGCAGCTTCTTACAAAGCACTAACATTTATCTGTGTTTTTAAACACATGAGTCTTAAGTTACCAGGATATTTCTCCTCCTTTCTTATTTCCCATAAACATTAATACAAAATTAAAAATGTTTTTTTAAAAACATCAGTCACTTTTCCTTGACAAACATAATTTACTCTTACGAGCAAGCACAGCCAAGCTCTGGGGGGAAAGCCTGCTAATATTTACTTAGTTTAAAAGTAAAATTGAATTACTTCTTACGGTAACTAGCACCAAACTATAATTATTACAACAATTACACTTTTTGAAAGTAGTGTCTATTGCAATAATGTGAATAAGCGAATTATTCAATACATTGCATTATATCTCAGAGACGGAATAGGAAGAATAAAGCTCACCTGATAGTGATTATATTCTAGCATTTCCAGCATAACAACGCTTTAGGTGGCCCACTCCAACGAGAAACGGTAGGCTACTCGCTCCCTCTACTCCCTGCAGTTCCGATCGGAGACTGACTGGCATAGAGAAGGCACTACACAAGGTGTCCCGAGGCACCGCCGGAAACTGCCACAGCAGCCCTGCTTATAATAACCTAAGCTAATTAGTTATGCATGTAAAAGCCCGTTCACACAAGGGTTGTTGTTATTTTTTCTGGAAGCACTACAAGCTTGGTCTTAAATATTGATATAAATGTCCCCCCTTGACTTGACGTCATGCTTTTTTTCATAAATATAAAAGAACCTTTTAAAGTGACGAGCTATCAAAGTCAAACTCAGTGTCAGATCAAGGCCGCTTCACTATTCATCTTTAGTTCCAGTAGGATTAATAGACAATGGTATTTCTCTTCCAGCCATAGGTCAGAGCTCTGTCCCTTCAGAGAGCACTCTGCCTGGAAGCTGCTGCTACACATGAGGCTTCCTGAAGGCTAAGCAGCCGCCACTCTGACTGCAGGACCATGATCCTTCCAATGTGCAGGTGTCTGTGCCAAACCTGCAGGCCCGTCAGCATCACCTCTCATCTGGTCTCCGGTGCACCTCACCCTCAGCTGGACAGATGTGTAACCTCCCTCCAGACCTCAGGGGAGCACTCCTGAATACAACAGAACGTGTGCACTTGCACGCACACACACACACACACACACACACACACACTGAATGTACCTTTATGTGCAAGTATATTTAAGTGGAACGTCTCCCCAATTTAACCCTCAAATTAGAAAGCATGAAAATTTATGAAAGATCTTTCAATACAATTCTGGGGCTAAAGGAGGACAAGAGTTATCATATACACAACTGATGCATTTATACATTTACTCATTTATTCATTCTATTACTCACTGTTACTATATGCTAAACACTGTGCAAGGCATTGAATTTACATTATGAACAAAGAGATGGTTGCCAACTTTATGAAACTTATGGTCTGGAATGAAGCAAAGGAAGAAAAAGGCTAACAAATATACACCTAAAACTATGATAAGATTAATATTCACTGGTGAATTGGGAACTATTTTAAGCATAAAAATTTGAAATGTCCACATGGTGGGGTAATGAAGCCCTTTAGATTACGGTCTCTGGTGGTTTCAGACCACTGATCTGATGAGCACCAGAGGTTCAGAGACACTCCAAGTTCCAGGAAGCGCCTGGACCCGGGAATAATGAGGACAACAGACATTACTAAAATAAACACAAATGAGGCCAGTGAGTGCAAAGTGCTTATCTCACTATTACACTTAGAAAAGAAAAGGCTGCACATTTAAAAATAAATGGCAATTCACTGGCAGATCCTCATTCTTTACTGAATCAGAACTTTGTGCTTTAGTGAGGAGAGAGGCCACGTGGTCTCCATTTAGCTTTGCCAGTGAGGTCTGCACTACATTCCTGGTGGGGTGACCGGAGCGGGATGTCAGTGCCTTTTTAGGTTTCGGTTAAGTTGAGAACAGATTGGCTATAAACACTACGCAGTAGATATATCATCTCCAGCCATTCCAATCCAAACACCTGGGTCAGGAAACCTAACGGAGATTCATGAACTATGGGGCAATAATAGGGAGTGGTGAGGTCTGTGGCAAACTAGGGGATGCGCACTTCACCTAAAAGAAACGGCTGACTGGTGACCTGGGAATAGCAGCCAGTAGAGCTAGATCTTCCACTTCTTCAATTTAGCTGGAAGTCTCAACTTTTTTGAGTAACATTTCCCAGACTAAGAAAATGACACCCGATTGTTTGACTGTACAAATCAAACTCAGCTCACAAGTGACTAGCATGTGGTCTCTGCTACCCACTGTTCATGAGGACACTCTCATATCCATGTTCCCTGGGGGTGGCCCCAGTTCTGAAAAGTTAGTCCCTCTTCTGAGAACTTAGTGTCAAAACCTGCTGTTTCCCTGAGAGGAGGGCCGCCTGGCTGCAGTCAGCAGAATAGGTAAGAGTTCGAGAACTGGGGTTGAATTCTGCTTTGCAACTTACAACTTATGTGACCTCAGGAGTCAGCGCCATTTGTAGGCCTTCCTTTTCTAGGTGCTCCAGGAGGTGCTAACAGAACCCACCACACAGTATTTCTGGCTTTAAATTAAACCATGCTTCTGAAGACTATCTGAAACAGCTGTTCTCAAACTGTGTATGTCACAGCACCCTTTAACTCTTTAAGTTTGTTGTGTTTCTGTGGATTACATCTATCAATATATAGCATATTAGAAATAAAAAATGAGAAGTTTTTAAAACGTAAGAATATACACTAGCACATACTCCACTGAACATGAGAACAATGACATTTTAACACATCTTGTAGCATTTATAAAACTATTCTGCATACCCGTGAGATGAGAAGGAAAAAAGGAAACTAACAAATTGGTATTATTATGAAGACTAGAGGCCCGGTACACAAAATACATGCACGGCAGGTGGGAGGGGCGGGGAGGAGGAAGGGAGTCCCTCAGCCCAGCCTGCACCCTCTTCAATTTGGGACCCCTTGAGGGATGTCTTGACTGCCCATTTAAGCCCAATCCTACCAGGATCTCACCTAACTGCCCCCTGCCCGGTGGGTTATTTAGGATAGGACCTAAATGGGCAGTCAGACATCCCTCTCACAATCCAAGACTGCTGGTTCCCAACCACTCACCTAATTGCCCTTAACTGCTTCTCCCTGCCAGCCTGATCACACCCTAACCACTCCACTGTCAACCTGATCACGCCTAACTGCTCCCTAGCCAGCCCAATTACCTGTTAACTGCCCTTCCCTGCTGGCCTGGTCATCCCTAACTGCCCTCCCTGCTGGCCTAATCGCCCACAATTGCCCTCCCCTGCAGGCCTAGCCCCCCAAACTGCCCTCCCCTGCAGCTTGGTCCCCCTCAACTGCTCTCCCTTGAAAGCCTTCTCCCCACCCCCCAAACTTCTCTTCCCTGAAGTCCTGATCCCCCTACTACCCTCCCTTGTTGGCCTGGTCACCCACAACTGCCCTCCCCTGCCAGCCATCTTGTGTCCATATGGGGCAGCCATCTTTGACCACATGGAGGTGGCCATCTTGTTTCTTGGAGTGATGGTAAATTTGAATATTACTCTTTTATTAGAGAGGATAGTTTTGACCCTGACCTGGCCCAGCCGCACTCTAACACTCTCACCGGCCAGCCTGCCTGCCATTCACGCCTGAGTGAGGAAGCAAGGGGCACAGAGGCTGCCAATCACCTTCCAGAGATGCCCGAGGAAGGCAGGAACCCTGCATTAACTTTCTCGTCGCATGACTGTGAGGGTCTATAATCCTCTATTTTAAAAGCCATATAAATATAATTTTCTGTCTTCAAGAATCCTAAACCAAAGCTTTTAAATTAGTGACTTTCCCTTCAATAATTTTAAATAGCCAGCAAATGAGCATGCAAATGAAAATATATGTGGCATTAAACATCTGCACAATTTCTTAATCATTTCTGCATTATTTTTTGGCTTCAAACCAACTATTCAAGTTGAGAAATTAGAACAGCGAAAACTTGAAGCACAGACCACAAAATAAAGCTAGAAAACTTTATACCCTATCAAAACATCATATTTTATTGACAAAATTTTTATTTCACATAAAGAATGATCACTATCTGGTTAAAGTGCAAAAAACAAACAAACAAGCAAACACAAAGCCTTGAAACTTTTCTTCCTTGTTACTGTGTTGTGCTGCATACCCTTGACTCAGCAGTGACCCCTGGTGACCCTATGAATGAGGGACATCCACAGTGCCCTGTCCTCAACAGCCTGCCCAGCTCCTGCAGACTCGGCCTGTGCTTCTCTCTGGGTCAGCCTGCCTCACAATCGGTCTTCCTCTTTGCCTGCTGCATTCTAATTTCCCAGCATTGTTCCCTTTCCTAAGAACTGCCTTCTCATGACGGGCCGGCGTAGGACAGCTTCGGGGTAGCCACGTTTGCCTCCAGTGGTATT